GTATAAAGTGTATTCTATTCTATAATATTCTACTGTATCTTAGTCCATGCCGCTCTGTCATTGCTTGTCCATATATGTAGAATTCCATTCCTTACTAGATTTGTGTGTATTGGGTATATGTTGTGAAATTGTTAGATATTACTTGTTAGATATTACTGCACTGTCGGAGCTAGAAGCACAAGCATTTCGCTACACCCGCAATAACATCTGCTAAACACGTGTATGTGACAAATAACATTTGATTTGATTTGAATATTTACCAAATAGGGCTATCTTCTGTATACCTTGTCACAACACAACTGATTGGCTCAAACGCATTAAGAAGGAAATAAATTCCACACATTTTAACAAGGCACACCTGTTAATTGAAATGCATTCCAGGTGACTACCTCATGAAGCTTGTTGAGAGAATGCCAAGAGTGTGCAAAGCTGTCATCAAGGCAAAGGGTGGCTACTTTTAAGAATCTCAAATATAACATATATTTTGATTTGTTTAACACTTTTTTGGTTACTACATGATTCCATATGTGGTATTTCATAGTTTTGATGTCTTCACTATTATTCTACAATGTAGAAAATAGTCAAAATAAAGAAAAACCCTTGAATGAGTAGGTGTGTCCAAACTTTTGACTGGTACTGTATATTTACGAGAAAATATATGGGGGATTGGAAATGATGCAGACAATTACAATGATGGAAGCTACAATCTATCTGCAATATTAAAGCTGATCTACCCCCCCCAAAAAAGATAGCTGGGCCAAGACTTCCCATTCATCTAGATGACGTCGTAGAAGAAACATTCACTTTGAAGCTGCACTTCACTCACTCCCAAATCACTGAATGCATTGATGACTGCAGGAGAGAGGCAAAAGGCATGGAAAGAGGGATATGGAAAGATCTTGAGAGTGGGAGGAGAGAGGAAGAAAGAGAGAAGGAGAGAGAGAGAGAGAGATTCTAGGGGTGGAGCGATAAGAATAGAAAGAGAGAAGGGGAAGAGAGAGAGAGATGCTTGGAGAGACACGAGAAGCATAGAGCGTGGGAGAGGGAGGCTGTTTTTTCATGCCTGCACTCTTCCCAGCCCAAGGCAAGTCAAGCCAGTGACTGTGATGATGTTGATGGCCTTTCACTGTGCCACTATCCACATACTCCCTCCCTCCTGAAGCTTACCGTATGCTTCCCAGTCTAAACAGTTTGCGCCTATATTATAACAACATTTTGTTACGTTTTTTCTTCGTTTTTTGGTGTTCGGGCTACTTTTTTTTCCGGCTTTTGGAGCAAGCCATTTTTTTCTTCTTCTTGAGGCTAGTCGAAGTTCGGTTTGCCGACGTCAATGACCCTTCGTCGGTGATTGGTCAGCAGGAGGGATTCCTCAATGACCCTTCGTCGGGGATTGGTCAGCAGGAGGGATTCCTCAAATAAGTATTTGTTGTCATGCAACGAGAGATGACAAGAAATACTGCACCAAACATCTTTAGATGTAAAATTGCGCGACTAAGACCTCCTCGGCAAAAATGTCAAAATTGATTACAGATTTCTTGATTTATCTTAGACTATTTTGTATATATTGGCTATTTATTGCTACGGCATCTCAAAAACAGTGGAGGCTGCTGAGGGGAGGACGGCTCATTATAATGGCTGGAATGGAGTCAATGGAATGGAACCCATGTATTTGATGTATTTGAAACCATTCCACTCATTCCACTACAGCCATTACCACGAGCCGGTCCTCCCCAATTAAGGTACCACCAACCTCCTGTGCTCAAGAGGTACAAACAGTAATATTGCAGCTTTTTTTTAATTATTTTTCAACCAAATGTCTTTTAAGGGAGTATGTGAGGCACAGATGTTCGTTTCGCCTAGCTGAGATCTGCTAAGAGCAAACCAAACCTAGCACGTGGACGCCTTCACTCTCTAGTAGTCAAAGTCCCAGTCAGACAGCAGGCCGCTTCACTGTTTCAAAGGCCTCTCAGTCACTCCGTCTCTCACTGAAGTGGAGTGTCTCCAGTCTTGGCGCGGGACTGTGAGAGCGTTTTCTATAGTGTTTTAGATGAGATGAGTGTCTGAGTGCTGAGACTGTATCAAGCGATCGCATGGCAGTTTGAAAAGTAGGTCCCTTGAGAGTGTCTCTAGTCGTCGATAGTATTTTAGATGAGATATGCGTGCTGAGACGAGGCTTGTTTCAAATGAACTCACTGAAGTATAAAAGCAGTACGTCACATCTATCAGTGGACCAGAGGGCCCGGTCACAGGGTCCACTCAACACACAAGGTAAAAAACTGTAGTATATCACCCACAAATGGCATCTCACTGGTTAAGTCTGAGGGTCTGAGGGTGTTTACAGATGGGTTGAAGTGCCAAGGCCCTTATCAAGAGAACAAACTGCAGTTTAAAAGCAGTATTTCTGTCATCTACGCTGCTCATTGTCATGGGAGGGCCGTGCTCGGGCTCAGTAGAGGAGGAATATAACTGAAGAAAAACACGGATGACGCGCATCTCTCTCAGTGTTTTTAAGTCTGAGTATCTGGGGGGACTGAGTATTGATTTGACACAGTTTTACCCTACAATGGAGTAGAGTGGAGCCCTACATAATGAGTAAAATGAGTCTTTTAGCTGTAGAGGGGATTGGGTTCATTGGTTAGATCTGGTTATTGGTTTAACTGGGATTATTGTGGTGTATGTTTACCTCCGTAGTACTGACTATTCACCTAGGAGTCTGTTTAGATCACAGAGAAAAAAACGACAAAAACAAGGACACAGAGAAGCTGTTGTTGTTATTTATGTATAGTATAATATACAGTACCCCTGACAGTCTGACGCGTCAGTCTCACTGGGCCTCTCCATGCTGCTCTGTCTGGTCTGATGCGTCAGTCTCACTGGGCCTCTCCATGCTGCTCTGTCTGCCCATAGATCATTGGAGGATTACCCACCTCTCTCTCTATCTCTCTCTCTTTCTCTCTGTTTTTCTCTCAGTCTCTCTCTCTCGCTTATTTGCTATGCCTCTGTCTGTCTCTCTCTCCCTCCCTCTGTCTCTGGTGGTTCACAAGAGTGCCCATCTACACAGATTTAAAAAAAAAACTTGCCCCGCCCTCTCCCTCTTCTCCCTCCTCCCCTCCAGTATCTTGCCTCCCCTGTGATCGATCCAGGTCTAAACTAGATTCAGCTCGATGAACCATCACCATTAGCTCTGTATCTTTAAAGGAGCATTAGTTCGTTTCTTAAAAGGCCTGATAGATATGTGATGAAATGGCTCTCAGTATCTTTGGTATTGAAAAGCTGTTCTAAACTGAGATAAAAGGTGCCTTGAGGAGAATAAACTGTAGGACTGTCTTCGCCTCGCTAACCTCGCCTCGCCTCGCTAACCTCGCCTCGCCTCACCTTACCTTACCTTACCTTACCTTACCTCTCCACACATTAAATAGGATGAATAAATCAGAGGTTTGACTCTTCTCTTTTGCAGGAGTGGATTTCAAAATGAAGACGCTGGAGATAGATGGCATCAAAGTACGGATACAGATATGGTAAGGAGACAGATATGGTAAGGAGACAGATATGGTAAGGAGACAGATATGGTAAGGAGACAGATATGGTAAGTAGTGAATGAATGCAGTCAGAGCGTACAATAAGTGCATTCTACTAAATTAGGTCAAACATGGGAATCACCCCTTGAAATGTAGTAGATGTCCTAGTCCAATGTCAGTGATGTTCAGTCTTACCCCATACTATTCTGTCAGTGATGTTCAGTCTTACCCCATACTATTCTGTCAGTGATGTTCAGTCTTACCCCATACTATTCTGTCAGTGATGTTCAGTCTTACCCCATACTATTCTGTCAGTGATGTTCAGTCTTACCCCATACTATACTGTCAGTGATGTTCAGTCTTACCCCATACTATTCTGTCAGTGATGTTCAGTCTTACCCAATACTATTCTGTCAGTTATGTTCAGTCTTACCCCATACTATACTGTCAGTGATGTTCAGTCTTACCCTATACTGTTGTTTACTCAGACTGGACACTAAACCAGTTCTGACAAAGGAGAGCCCCCCCCCCCCACCTCCCCCTCCTCTGTAGTACACAAAGCCTTTTACAATTACTCTTATCTCAAGATAAAAACCTTTTGAATTCACAAAGATCCACCGTGGATCGAAACATTGTCTGATATTATCACTATTCACTACCTGTTTCCTCATTTTCTAAGAGAGGGTGTTTTTGACATTTGATTTCTTCCAGGGACACAGCAGGACAGGAGAGATATCAGACCATCACTAAGCAGTACTACAGACGAGCACAGGTAAGATAACGCTACTCTTCCTCAAGATATTGTAGGTAAGAGGTCAGATCAGGTTGTCACGATCGTCGGGTACAGAGGACCAAGGCGCAGCGTGGAAGGTGAACATATTTATTAAATAATGATTACACGAACAAAACAACAAACGATACGTGACATCCAAAGGTGCAAAACACAAACCTACACAGGAACAAGATCCCACAAACACTGTGGGAAAACTGGCTGCTTAAGTAGGGTTCCCAATCAGAGACAACAAGCAACAGCTGATACACGTTGCCTCTGATTGAGAACCACACTGGCCAACATAGAACTACAAAACTAGAACGAAAAACAAATGAAAACTCACACCCTGGCTCAACATACTAGAGTCCCCAGAGCCAGGGCGTGACACAGGTAAGATAATGCTACTCTTCCTCAGGATATTGTAAGTAAGAGGTCAGACCAGGTAAGATAATGCTACTCTTCCTCAGGATATTGTAGGTAAGAGGTCAGATCAGGTACGATAATGTTACTGAAGCGCCACTCTACTCTTTCTTTAGTCTAGTCCACCAGCTGGATCTGGCCGTTAGCCTGGAGACGAGGGTTACTCTCCCTTCTAAACATGCAGGGCACTAGTAGCTAAAGCTGCAGTTGGACGTCAAATATATACTGTAGTTATGGTTGGTAGCACAGTTTCCTAATTTCCTCCTGTCCACTCACCACGCTTATCACCCATGGATACTAAACTACGTGGTGTTGCTGTGACAACTATAACTGAACCAGCTGACATGACGTTTCTTCCTCTCCTCTCCTCTCCTCTCCTCGCCTCTCTTCAGGGAATCTTCCTGGTTTACGACATCACAAGTGAGCGATCCTTCCAGCACATTATGAAGTGGGCCAGTGATGTGGACGAGGTGAGATCAAGGGGGTCAGGGGTCAGGGGTCAGGCAAACCTATTTCTATAGCGGCACAGGTGCTTTTGTCAAATCAGACTGAATGACCCTCCCTCCCTCCCTCCCAGTATGCTCCTGATAACATCCAGAAGATCCTCATAGGGAACAAGTCAGATGAGGAGGAGAAGAGGCAGGTAGCTACAGAACAGGGAAACAAGCTGGCCAAGGACTATGGGATGGACTTCTTTGAGACAAGTGCCTTCACCAACCATAACATAACAGAGGTGAGTGGCTGACAGCTCCTGTAGAAACACTGTGTACGGCTGTCTGGCTGCCTGCCACAGGCCAAGCACCGCGGCCAGACTACCTGTATGGAAACTACTGATGACCATATACTGTAACAACAGTTCATCCTCAGTTACTTTGTCTCATTCTGTATCTCCCAGAGTCCAAGTCATATATTCACAGGTTGCACCTCCGTCACCGGTGGCACCATAGTGGTGCCCTAAAGTGGTGATAAACTCAGTCATTCTGGACGGAGGCTAACTACTGTTTAGTCTAAATTACACTACAGTGCCTGGTAATACCATGACATTGGTAAAGTAGTCCAATATTTAGTAGGAAACAACTTTGCCAGCATTATTACAGTGAGGGAAAAAAGTATTTGATTCCCTGCTGATTTTGTACGTTTGCCCACTGACAAAGAAATTATCAGTCTATAATTTTAATGGTAGGTTTATTTGAACAGTGAGAGACAGAATAACAACAAAAAAATCCAGAAAAACGCATGTCAAAAATGTTATACATTGATTTGCATTTTAATGAGGGAAATAAGTATTTGACCCCCTCTCAATCAGAAAGATTTCTGGCTCCCACGTGTCTTTTATACAGGTAACGAGCTGAGATTAGGAGCACACTCTTAAAGGGAGTGCTCCTAATCTCAGTTTGTTACCTGTATAAAAGACACCTGTCCACAGAAGCAATCAATCAATCAGATTCCAAACTCTCCACTATGGCCAAGACCAAAGAGCTCTCCAAGGATGTCAGGGACAAGATTGTAGACCTACACAAGGCTGGAATGGGCTACAAGACCATCGCCAAGCAGCTTGGTGAGAAGGTGACAACAGTTGGTGCAAATGGAAGAAACACAAAAGAACTGTCAATCTCCCTCGGCCTGGGGCTCCATGCAAGATCTCACCTCGTGGAGTTGCAATGATCATGAGAACGGTGAGGAATTAGCCCAGAACGACACGGGAGGATCTTGTCAATGATCTCAAGGCAGCTGGGACCATAGTCACCAAGAAAACAATTGGTAACACACTACGCCGTGAAGGACTGAAATCCTGCAGCGCCCGCAAGGTCCCCCTGCTCGAGAAAGCACATATACAGGGCCGTCTGAAGTTTGCCAATGAACATCTGAATGATTCAGAGGAGAACTGGGGGAAGGTGTTGTGGTCAGATGAGACCAAAATGGAGCTCTTTGGCATCAACTCAACTCGCCGTGTTTGGAGGAGGAGGAATGCTGCCTATGACCCCAAGAACATCATCCCCACCGTGAAAAACATGGAGGTGGAAACATTATGCTTTGGGGGTGTTTTTCTGCTAAGGGGACAGGACTACTTCACCGCATCAAAGGGACGATGGACGGGGCTATGTACCGTCAAATCTTGGGTGAGAACCTCCTTCCCTCAGCCAGGGCATTGAAAATGGGTCGTGGATGGGTATTCCAGCATGACAATGACCCAAAACACACAGCCAAGGCAACAAAGGAGTGGCTCAAGAAGAAGCACATTAAGGTCCTGGAGTGGCCTAGCCAGACTCCAGACCTTAATCCCATAGACAATCTGTGGAGGGAGCTGAAGGTTCGAGTTGCCAAACGTCAGCCTCGAAACATTAATGACTTGGAGAAGATCTGCAAAGAGGAGTGGGACAAAATCCCTCCTGAGATGTGTGCAAACCTGGTGGCCAACTACAAGAAACGTCTGACCTCTGTGATTGCCAACAAGGGTTTTGCCACCAAGTACTAAGTCATGTTTTGCAGAGAGGTCAAATACTAATTTCCCTAATTAAAATGCAAATCAATTTCTAACATTTTTGACATGTGTTTTTCTCGATTTTTGTTGTTGTTATTCTGTCTCTCACTGTTCAAATAAACCTACCATTTAAAATTATAGACTGATCATGTCTTTGTCAATGGGCAAACGTACAAAATCAGCAGGGGATCAAATACTTTTTTCCCTCACTGTATGTTGTCAAATTTACTTTAGACAGATGCCAATGTTGTCATTAGCTAGAAAAGTTCGTCAAAAATAGCTAGCAATGCTAACATTAGCTAGCTAAACTCTAGCTAACGTTATGCTGCATCTAAAGTCAATCTTTTCCTACTAATTGCTTGCCTCCTTTTGAATGGCATTGTATTTCCAAGCCATTGTAATACACTTTAGATGAAATCTTCATCAGTTCTCATTGAAGATGCATTGAGTAGAATGCACAGTCGGGGCATTAGTCCAAAATGAAAGTTCAAAACAATATTGTGACGAAACATGCAACCCATTAATACAGTGACATACAGTATACAGTGATCAGTGGAGGCTGCTGAGGGGAGAACGGCTCATAATAATGTCTGGAACGGAGTAAATGGAATGGGATGTGTTTGATGTATTTGATACCATTCCACTGATTCCGCTCCAGCCATTACCACGAGCCCGTTCTCCCCAATGAAGGTGCCACCAACCCCCTGTGAATGACATATACAGTGACATATATGGAATAGCCTTCATTTCTCAGAAGAAAGTTATTTGTTTCTGGCCATTTTGAGCCTGTAATTGAACCCACAATTGCTGATGCTCCAGATACTCAACTAGTATCAAGAAGGCCAGTTTTATTGCTTCTTTAATCAGCACAACAGTTTTCAGCTGTGCTAACGTAATTGCAAAAGGGTTTTCTAATGATCAATTAGCCTTTTAAAATGATAAACTTGGATTAGCAAACACAACATGCCATTGGAACACAGGACTGATGGTTGCTGATAATGGGCCTCTGTACGCCTATGTTGATATTCCATTACAAATCAGCCGTTTCCAGCTACAATAGCCATTTACAACATTAACAATGTCTACACTGTATTTCTGATTAATTTGATGTTATTTTAATGAACAAAAAATGTGCTTTTCTTTCGAAAACAAGGACATTTCTAAGTGACCCCAAAATGTTGAACGGTAGTGTACGGTGACATATATCAGTGATATATATATATATATATATATATAACAGATTTGCACTAACAGTTAAATTAGTGATCGGCATTGCAAAACACTTTCCTGTCTTTCACCCAGTCCTTCAAGCGATTGGCTGAGCAGGTCCTGTCGGCCAATAAGAAGGACCTGGACCTCCTGAGGGCATCAGTCACAGACGAGCTCAACCTCGCCGCCCTGGAGGAGGAGGAGGGCATCACAGACGGGGCCGATGCCTCACAGAAGGGCTGCTGGTGTTAAGGGTCAAAAGTGGTACACTATGTAGGGCATAGGGTGAGAAACGTAGTGCACTATATAGGGAATAGGGTGCCACTTCTCCTTATGTAAGGACTGGGTCTGGCTGCATTTTAAAATCACACCCTATTCCTTATGCGAGCTCTGGTTGAAAGTAGTTACACTTTGTAGGGAATAGGGTGACAAAAGTGGTGCACTATGTAGGGAATAGGGTGTGTGGGGGGGGGGGTGACACTTCTCACTTCTCGTAGCTCTCGTAGCTGATTGCCTTTCTACCATTGTAGGTGGTGTACTGGCGTTTGATCTTTTTTTTTTTTTTTTTACCAATGATGTATATAAACCCTGGATTGGTTTGCTGTGTATTGGCCAATGAGAGGCTTTGAAGCCACCGGTCGGCCATATTGGCACTCCTCAGAAACGCAGTCCTTTATAGGAGTGAATGGAATTCTACAGTATTTCATTTAAATGCTTCAAGGACAAAATTACATGTATTTAAGTATTTTTTGTTATAGTGGGGAAGGTAAAATTAGTACTTTCTAAAAAATTATACTTTAAGAAAAATGTTTTTTATATATATATTTTTTGGTATGTTTAGCTCACAATATAATTTAAAAGTATGCATAAAGGTGTCTGTAATAATAGAATAAACGTGGCAAAAACAAATGTAGACATTTATAGATGCATTTCTATAGCTTCCAAAGTATTTTTTACAACGGTGGGGAGTACCAAAATGGAGGCGCGGTGGCTTCAAAACAGCGCTCCAATGTGAGTCATCTAGTGTATGTATAAATCATTATTTTTTCATGGTATTTGTCGTTGTAGTTAATAGGTTCAACCACAAGAGGGTGCTACTGATACACGCTGCATTGTATACGAAGCAGATACATTGCAGAGCTGTTGATAAAGTGGTCACGACACGTTACACTGTTCTACTGTATATGCGTCGCAAACGACACCATATTCCCTTTATAGTGCACTGCTTGGCTCTGCTCAGAACTAGTGCACTATAAAGGGAATAGGGTGTCGTTTGTTGTGCAAATAATGTTCCATTTGATTTTAGCTTTGCAATTGTGTTTCTCAAGACAACTTTCCATGATAATCTACATATAAAATTCCTAGTTCAAGAGACCTATGAGCATTAGTTTAATGTTAGTTTAAACCTGTGAGCATTACAGGCCTGTAAAAAGTGTTGACTTTTAATTTTGATGGTCTAGAAATATTCCATCTGTGATTCTATCTATGATTACATATTTTTGTTTACTTCAGTTTTACGCCATATTATCCATTAGTTAGGTGCTGTTTCCGGAGTAGCCTATTGAATAGAAACTTAGAAACGTATTATCCAGACTAGCAAAGGACCAGCAAGAGATCTGCATGTGTCCAACTTCGATCCTCATCTTCTTTCTGTCTTGCAACTTCAAAGAAGTTAATTATTTAACTGATCATGACACCCCTAATATAGTATTTGACCAGAGTGGCCTGATGTTAGTATGCCTATATGAACTGATCATAGGACTAACCTCTACTGACTCAATGCTATTACTGCTACTGTAAAAAAAACTACTGTTTGTGTGCAAGTGATGGTATGTTGTATTGAATGAAATACTGGACTATGCTCTCTAGATAGAGGTGAAATACTGGACTATGATCTCAGACGATGAAATGTATATCTGTGCTGTTTGATAATGACTACCTGAATTGCATTTGGTGGAAATATATAACGAGCAACGTTGTAATACTTTCAGATGTTTATTGAATAAATACTTGCAGATTAATGACCTATCATGCTGTGTGGTAACTTGATGAAATTAAAAAAAAAAGGGTTAGATTGGCCACCCGTGTGTCATGGAGCAATAGGGATCAATAAAGCATGAATTGGATTGAATTCCAGGCAACAGTGCCCACTGGTTTTCATGAATGCGTTTTTATTGGTGCCTGGTTCAGTGACTCATTTAGACCTGGGTGTAAATAAAAAAGCCAGCAGGACATCAGAAAGACGTCTGGAATAGAATGGATTATGCTTTTTTACCAGTAGGTGGAATAGTTGGATAACTCTTATGTTTTACCGCACATGATTTCTTTACATCCATATCACCGTAAAATAACTTGGAAGAACCTGAAAGTTGAAATGACTGTATCTGTATGAACCTGGAAGTTGAAATGACTGTATCTGTATAAACCTGGAAGTTGAAATGACTGTATCTGTATGAACGTTGGCTGTTTGTGTTGCACCTACATGTAGTTCTAAGAGGAACTTTTCCTTCAACTCCAAATCTGTTACTGAGGATCACGGCGACACAAGCGAGCAGTCATTGGTCAGTCCGAGGTGACAGGAAGGGTGAATGGCACCCTATTTAGTCCCATTGTGGCTCAGTTGGTACAGCATAACGCCAGGGTTGTGGGTTCGTTTCTCATGGGGGACCAATATGGAAAAAATGTATGCGCTCAGTACTGTAAGTCGCTCTGGATAAGAGCGTCTGCTGAAATGTGAATCTGCGTAATAATGAAGTGGACATGTCAGAGGAATTGCTGTGACGTCTGCCTGAAACGGCAGCTCTGTATCTGTGTGACACTCGCTCTCTGGTTATGTCCCAATCGTCTCTCCTTCTTCCTAAAGTGCGCACTAGTTCAATCCCCGCACTGATTTGAAATGAGATAAGAGGTGTACGAAATATAGTGGGAACTCCCTCTAGTCCATGCCTCCAACAATACAATGCTTTTAGATTTGTGGGAACTAGTGAACGAGTGCACACTTCAGAAGAAATGAGATATTATTGGGATGCACACTCTCTCTCTCTCTCTCTCTCTGGCAGACACACACACACCGTACTCTCTATAACTTGGTGGGAACTAGTCCACTTGTCTGTTGCGGCGTGTCAGAGAGAGCAGCGATCAGAGCCCGTTACACACGACCTCGACCTGCCACCTCTGGGTGTGAGTGAATGAAAGAGAGGGGGTGCTGCTATAGAAGTTCTGTGAGATAGAGATGCCCCCCCCAGACCTGAAAAATCCCTCTCCCCTGCATTTCTCTCTCTCTGAAACACACACACACACCACTCCCCCCTTTCATACGTACACAGACACACACACACAGACAGACACACACACACACACACACACACACAGTTGGTGCCATGAGGAGAGCAGCTACCCTGTCTCAAATAGGTCAATATTCTGCTTAGTGTGAAGACAGAGGGAAACATAGATTCTTGAGAGAGAGGGGATTCTCATCCTCTAGTGCAGGGGTGTTCAACTCTCACCCTATGGGGTCTGTATCCTGCTGGTTTTCTGTTCTACCGGATCATTAATTGCACACAACTGATGTCCCTGGTCTAAATCAGTCCCTGATTAGAGGGGAACTATGAAATAAACGCAGTGGAACTGGTCGAGATCCAGAGGCTCTAGTGGTTATTTATAGAGATTAGAGGAAGATAAATGGGACTGGGGTTGCGTCCCAAACGGTACCCCATTCCCTGTTGGCCCCTCGGCAAAAGTAGTGCACTACATAGGGAATAGGATGCCATTTGGGACACAGGCTGGGTGTTATGAAAGAAACACTGTCTGCATCATCACCTACACCATCTCACAGATCCTTCCAGAACTAATCCAACCGCCTTTCATCAGGCTCCATTCAATCGCATTAGAAACAGTAGGAGGGAGTGCATGTGAGAGAGAGTGTGTGTGTGTGTGTGTGTGTGTGTGAGAGAGAGAGATAGAGAGTGTGTGTGAGAGAGTGTGTGTGTGAAAGTGTGTGTGTATGTGTGTGTGGTGGAGGGCTACAGATTAATCACACTCCCCTAGTCCCTCTGTGCTATCATGGCATCCCAGGGCCTGGAGAGCTGGGCCCAGGCTGTGCCGTTAGGAAAGACTGCACACACACACACACACACACACACACACACACACACACACACACACACACACACACACACACACACACACACACATACTGTCGTCGTCACAGCACAGGGCCTCAGCTTGAAATCCCCTCCGCCCCTCCATCTCTCCACCTTAGCCCCCATCCCAAAAATCCTGTCAGAGTGTGACCGTATCCTGGCCACCCATTGGTCACCACTCTCCCCCTCCACTAGTTAGCCTGGTCACCACTCTCCCCCTCCACTAGTTAGCCTGGTCACCACTCTCCCCCTCCACTAGTTAGCCTGGTCACCACTCTCCCCCTCCACTAGTTAGCCTGGTCACCACTCTCCCCCTCCACTAGTTAGCCTGGCCACCACTCTCCCCCTCCACTAGTTAGCCTGGTCACCACTCTCCCCCTCCCTCCACTAGTTAGCCTGGTCACCACTCTCCCCCTCCACTAGTTAGCCTGGTCACCACTCCCCCTCCCTCCACTAGTTAGCCTGGTCCCACTCTCCCCCCCCCCCCTCCAATAGTTCGCCTGGCCACCTCTCCCCCTCCACTAGTTAGCCTGGTCACCACTCTCCCCCTCCACTAGTTAGCCTGGTCACCACTCTCCCCCCCTCCCTCCTAGTTAGCCTGGTCACCACTCTCCCCCTCCACTAGTTAGCCTGGTCACCACTCTCCCCCTCCACTAGTTAGCCTGGTCACCACTCTCCCCCTCCACTAGTTAGCCTGGTCACCACTCTCCCCCTCCCACTAGTTAGCCCTGGTCACCACTCTCCCCACTCCCCTCCCACTAGTTAGCCTGGTCACCACTCCCTCCCCCTCCCTCCACTAGTTAGCCTGGTCACACTCTCCTCCCCCCTCCACTAGTTAGCCTGGTCACCACTCTCCCCCCTCCCCTCACTATTAGCCTGGTCACCACTCTCCCCCCTCCACTAGTTAGCCTGGCCACCACTCTCCCCCTCCACTAGTTAGCCTGGTCACCACTCTCCCCCCTCCACTAGTTAGCCTGGTCACCACTCTCCCCCCCTCCACTAGTTTAGCCTGGTCACCACTCTCCCCCCTCCACTAGTTAGCCTGGTCACCACTCTCCCCCTCCACTAGTTAGCCTGGTCACCACTCTCCCCCTCCCTCCA